CTTTGAAATAAATTGCTTTGTTCTTAAACGTAAATTTCACAGGTAAAAGCGTGGCGTTAATCTGGGCATTTGGACGAGGGACATAAGGAAATATGACCAAGCGGGGAGAAAATCCCGCGAGAGACTGACTTTGTCAGGATTGCTGGTAACTCCGGTGTTTTCTGTGGTTGTGAAGTGCAGTTTCCATGAGGACATGGAAGGGACCGGATGGTAGTCCTTTTCAGTCTAGTCCGAGCACTTCCACTCAGTCTTTCAAAGTTAAGGGGAAAAATTGGTGGTATTGCTTCAGAACTTGATTCCCTTTCTTGCTTTTAACGGTGATTTTAGCCTTCAGGAGGAAGCTTTTGGAAAATAATAGTAAAAAAGAGGACATGGCCCACAGGAAATGTTTATGATTGCTAGAGTAGTGCAAGCTACAGCAGTTTGCCATGTCCTAGCTAGGTGGCATTCCACTCTGACACCCCGAACTATGGACAGTCAGTGCTGTCCTCTGCAGGCATTTACGCTTCGGGTCTGGGGTCTGCCTGCCCTCCTGCAGTGGGTTTTGGGACTAGCTTCTTCAAGACGTGCATGTGTCATTTCTCCGAGGCAAATCTAGTTTTATGACTTCTTCCCATCAAGCCGATTCTGACTTCCCAGGGACTCTGGAGGCCAGAGGAGAACTGCTCCACAGGCTCTTCAAAGAGGTTATCCTTTTCAGAAGCAGACTTCCATGTTTCTCCTGCCTGTAAGTGTCCACTGGACACAAAGTACTCGTCTTGGTCTGTAGAAACTGAAGGATGGAGAAGATCTAGCTATGGAAAGTGCCCATCCTGAAGGCTGAATTTCGGGTCAGTTCATGAGGCTTACTGTACGTAAGACCAGATTCTTACTGAAACTGGTTCCTTCCCTCCCTCCCCTTCTACTTAGGAATCTCACCACGGGCATTGCATTTCTGAAAAAATAATCCCCTTCCACCTATCTGCATGACCTACTGAATCAAAGCAAGTAGAAACAAACAAACTTATAATGTGTGTATTGTTGTAAACTCTTTAAGTTCTGAGATAGTCTTCCTTTATTTCTACCTGCCTTATCTGGAGATACATATTTAGAAATGCATTTCTAGAAGAACTGCTGTGTTCGATTTGGAAGCCTGCTCATCATCTTTTATCCTTGGAGAATTACGAATTGGTCACTTCGTGAATTCCTTTGACTTGGGGTTGTTCGATGCCATTAGTCTGGATTCGGACTTTGCAAAGCCTTCAGTTTCCCGGACTCTGGTCTTTATGGAAGCAGATGGTGAGGCCCTCCTTGTGCTGAGCTGCTGGGTGAAATCAAATCAGCAGCCCATAGATGGCCCCCCACGGCCCCTGTTGTGCTCACGGCACACACCCAGTTCTCTTCCCTCTAAGGAGGGTGGGGGGAGCGACTGTTTCCCGAAGCCACTGGTCTCCCTTCCCTTCATCTCCTAGTACTCGGGCTCGCTCTGTGGCCTTTTCATCTCCCCCTTTCACCTCTTCATTTTCGCTCTTCCAAATACATGGGTAACAGCCTTCATGTTTCCATTGACCCTGTATTTTTCTTCCTCCTTCAGAGGGGCAGTAGTTAACGGAAGTTAGGGGTTTAGGTTGCTGGACTCAAGAGTCTTGACAGGCTGTGTTAAATGCAAGGGCTGCCTCTGTCTGGATCCTGAGCCCTTGGAGCACAGGAGCAGAATCCCAACCCATCTTTCCCCCATGGGCCTCTTGCTTGCCCTCTTGTCCGTTCCAGTAATACTGTTTGCCACCCAACCTCCAAGCCAACAATCCTGAGAAAGGATCAGGCATTCTTCTCAGCCCCACCTCAAGTGTTTTGCATATGGCATTTAGGAGGATTATTAAACAGAAATGAAGTAGATTAAGAAAGGACCATAAAAGAATCAATTCTCTTGAACTGTGGTTGCATAATGGGAATCGACTACCATGAATGAAGCCCTGTACCGACGTTATGAACAGCAGAGCTAATGTACTGCCATGAGTTCATCTTTATTATTGCATTACACCTGAATCAATTGATAAACCTTTTTTTTTTTAAAGCAAGGGATGGCACTTAATTGAATAAAAGTCAATATAATTAAATTAGGAGAGGCCAACAGGACTGCTGACAGCGGAAAAGGGACACTGCTGAGCAGCGTGCCAGAGTGGGTCTGTACATTTCTGCACATCGTTCTGGCTGACAGATATTGAGGGCTGGGACGTCATCTAATTAGATTACAGGTTGCTACTGTAAGTGAGAACTGAAGAGAAAGATCTCTTCCTGGTAACTGATCAGTGGAGATGCGTCATTTCACAAGTCATCGTGGGCAAGATGTGTCCATCTGGGAGATCAGCGCGTCCGTTTGTCAATGTTAATTTATTCTCCCTTCTGCACTGAGTCTTGATGTGACTGCTGTGTGTCTGGCTGCTGGCTCCTCAGCCGTGAACCCAGGAAGTGGTAACTGCAGATGTTGTGAGAAGCGACACCGAGTTCTAGATTACTGGCATCACCAACTGTGTGCTTATGATGTGAAGAAAGGGGGAGGGTGTTGAAAATGATGAACGGGGGTGGTGGTGGGGGGGCTTGTGGAGAGGAGGGGAGGACCTGAGCTACTTCTAGCTCATCTTACTGATAGCGTGTCAGTGCACACAGTAACTTGCTCTCCGCCTCCTCCTCCTCCCTCTGGAGGTGTGGTGCCCACATGGCAAGCTCGAGACTTCACAGTAGGCACTTCCTGCGCTCAGAGTCATGTGCCATCCGACGCCAAGGGAACGAGGACTGGCTGTGTCAGGGCGGGGACCGTGGGGACAACTTCTGTTTATCATCCCCATTTCCGCACAATGCATGCATCTGTTCAGAACTCATTTGTGGATGATGATGATGATGTGAATTTGGTTTGTCTTAATTTGATTTATGATTTTTGGATTATGCAGCTGATCTGAAAATCATCAAGACAGCATATGGGATGATGGCTTATGACAGAAAAATGATTTTGTGATCAGAACATTTTAAATCCCTATTTTATTGTTTTAAGTTAAAAACAAACAAACAAACCAGATGTCTAGAATGTGAATTTGTTTTCTCTCTCTCTCTCTTTCTCTCTCTCTCTCATTCTTGCTTTCTTTTGTGATCGATTTAGCAAAAGATTAGAAAGCTGATCTTATTATCACAAGGTAAGCTCAGCCTTCCTAAGTGCAGTGTTGGGGTGCCGCCTGCTGCCCCTGTGACCGAGAGACCAAGGGTTGCTGGGTATTGTCTGGTGTGGAAAAGAGGAGGCCCCTGCCTACTTTTCTTGTCTCTGAGGCACATACCTCTCAACCACCCCCAAGAAGTACTAGCCATGCCTATCACCAATGGAGTGGCTTACTTTGGTCTCCCTTATTTTTTAATTCTAATCTGTTGGACTTGTTTTCACCAGCCATTTAGATTATTTCTAACATCGCAATTAACTTCTCCATAACGCGGAGCTTCCATTATTACTGAGAAGTTTTTATCTATGGGCATATTTATTGATCCGGTTATATTTTTGGAAGGGTCAACTTCAATTCAGGTACTTGTCAAACATGTATGCCTTTGAAAGTGGAGAGAGGTATATGCCCAAGGGCATTTAAAAATACATGGGAGACATTAATACAAAGGCAATGTTTTCAGATAGATGGGAACATGTATCAGACTCTGTAAATCATGACGCCCCTATGGGGACGTGGGGCAAATCCTTTTTGTTTTTTTAAAACACAAGCAAAACTCAGTAAGTCGAGTAAAAGTTCTGCTTGTCTTGAGAAGCATAGGTCCCAGTTATTCAGACAGAGGGGCCACATGTTATTGTTGTGCTTGAGCTTTTGTACTTAACTGTGTTTTAATGTCGTCCCTTTGAGCTCCTTCTGTTGTCTTAATGTGATTTTTTTGGGGAGGGCGGTAGGCCTTATTTAAAAAACCAATTTGTTTCTTCCTTTTTATTTGCAGATTTGAATTTTAAGAGCTTAAATACTTAGTGAAAACTTGGTTAGCAATAAAATACAGCAGCTTCTGAAATGATATGCATCTTATAACCAGATTTAACCAAGAGACCACATCTTTCTTTAAAGGGGGGGGGGGTTGTGTGGTTAGAGACCCTCTATAACCCCAATTCCAGCCCCTCCTCTACAGCTCAGTTAGTCTGACACGCAGAGCAAGGGGTTGGGGGTGGGGTGGACACAAGCAAGGTTCACTGTTCTTTGAAATCCAACCCCGATTGGATTCTCTAGAGCAGCAGTTGGCAAATGAGGCCACAGAGCCATGTGCGTGTGCCGTCGTTCGGTATGTTTGTGTGGCTCTAAAGTAAAATTGAAAGTTTTAAATGACCGTGATTCAGAAATAGTGATTTCATCTGTTTGTAAAAAGATATTTATGGCTCTCGAGCAATTTTTAAATTGTTGTGAGAGACAACCTCTCAAAAGTTTGCCGACCCCTGATCTAGACCATTCACTTAAAAAAAAAAAATGGGACCTTTACCTTTAAACCGTACCTGTAGAAAACAGCCCTTGGATTTTGTGGAGCTTTGTTGTGTTTACAGTGAATCTGGCCTATTGAAATCTAGGCAAATTTACTTAAAAACAAGCTCGACTTTCTGACAAAAAGAAAGTTGCCCTCCCTTTGCCCACTTAGCATGCCCACTTAGCCAGGGAGACAGCAGCAGCGGCCGATGCTGTGAACGTCGCACAGAAACCACCATTGAGAAAAGGAGCTGGGGCGGGGGCGGTGTGCAGCCAGCCTCCCATTGAAGAATTGTACACTCCTAGCAAAATGATGCTACTGGAGCTCCCCGGCCCCGCCCCTGCCACTCACACCCAAATCCCGAGCATGCAGCGAAATGCTAACAGAGCGGAGTCTTTAGCAGTGAATGTGCTTATTGGGTGCCTGGTGGAAGCTGAATCCATTTTAAAATGCTCTCCTTTTTCTCGCCCCTCCCCGCCCTCTCTTCATCGATTTCCCTCCCCACCTCCCCCCAACTCTTTTATTTTTCCCAGACACAGTGCCAACATAAATCTGCACCGTAAACTGTTGACCAAAGAACTCGATGACATGGGCCTGGACTCGTCGCAGCCCTCCCTTAGCAAGGACCTCCGGGATGAGTTTCTGGTGAAGATCTATGGTGGCCAGCACGCCCTGGGGCTCGACCTCCGGGAAGAGGCCGCCTCGCCCGCCGGGACGGAAGACTCCCACCTGAACGGGTACGGGAGGGGCATGGCGGACGACTACATGGTCCTGGATCTGAGCACCACCTCCAGCCTCCAGTCCAGCGGCAGCATCCACTCCTCGCGGGAGTCCGACGCGGGCAGTGACGAGGGCATTCTGCTGGACGACCTGGACGGGGCGAGTGACAGTGGCGAGTCGGCACACAAGGCCGAGGCCCTGGCGCTCCCTGGCAGCCTCGGGGCTGACGTCGCGGGCTCGCTCATGTTCAACAGCCTGTCGGGGAGCCACGGTGGGATCGTGTGCAACATTTGCCACAAAATGTACAGCAACAAGGGGACCCTCCGGGTGCACTATAAGACCGTGCATCTGCGGGAGATGCACAAGTGCAAGGTCCCTGGATGCAACATGATGTTCTCCTCCGTGCGCAGCCGGAACCGGCACAGCCAGAACCCCAACCTCCACAAGAACCTCCCCTTTGCATCCGTAGAGTAGTCCCCGGATGGACACAACCAATGCCAGCTCTCACCCGATGGCCTCCGAACCCGAACTGCCATAGTCAGTGTGTGTGTCTGTGTGTGCGCGCGCACGCCTGTATGCCTCTGTGTGCACGGGGGACGCGCACAACATTTCTCTAGCTAAAACGAAAAAGAGAGAAACACTAGGTGCTTTTGAATTACTTTTTTTACCCCCTTTTTCTTTACCGTTTTGGGGAAGAGGGTTCTTTAATCTGGGGATGTGGAAGCAGTACCCTTTACGCACGCACGCACGCACACACGTGGGCCACAGCCCCGGTCTGACACAGCACTCCTTGGGCATCTCCAGAGAGAGAGTGTGATTCCCATGACTGTTGCCTGCAAAAGAAAAGTAATAAGGGGGTGGGTGGGGACCGGAACAAAAAAAAAAAAAAAAAGGAACTTCTTAGCGTTGTCTTTTGTGAACTTTAAGGTTTTGAGAGAATCTTCAATTAAAGCATGGCAGATTCACCTGTAAATATTATGCCTTGAGAGGCCAATGATGTAAAACAAGTGTATTGATGGTTGTTTAACTCGTTTAATTTTTACAGTTACATCCAGCTGTTAGATACACAGGCAAACAAAAATAGTTTGCTGGCTAGCTCTATACATTTATGTTAGCATTAATGCAGTTGTTTTTTGTTTGTTTTGTTTTATAAAAACATGGTCTTGTTTTTACTACCTGCTAGATAGAGTGATAAAGAGGTGCTGGCATGCGTTACAGCACAAATCTGATTTTTTTTTTAATGCCCTGTACTATTACATAAATCCAGTCATGCACTTTTTTTCATACACTACAAGGGGATGTGTAATATCCATGCTTCTTTTTTTACCCTTAAACTATTGCCATACTTCAGTAAGTGTCTTTTTTAAAAAAAATCCACTTGTATAAAAACGGTCTGGTCAGTATAGGGCACAAATGCCAAACAAAAGTATTAGTGTTAACACAAAACTGCCAACTTTGCACAAGTTTCCAGAAAAGAAAATACAATTAGTCACTCAACATAACCACAGGCCAATTTGTCGGCCACCAGAAAACCGCTTTTTACAAAAAAAGAAAGCAAGCACTCTCGGCGACTCTTTTCAAGCGCCGAATGTTATTAGAATGGACACTGCACCCTTCTTGCTTCTATGTTACGTTCCATAAAAGGCAGACCCAGTCATGTGGCGTGAGAGGGCCAAGGCATTTATTCTGTGGAGGCAGGATAATCTTTCAGGACACACACAGCCCAGCTGACTCACTTTGGAGCAGAGCTGCAGACAGTTGAGCGCTCATTTCTACAGACCTGGCCCTTGCCTTCCACAAGGAAAGGAAAGCGCCCTCCACGCTGAGCCGAGGGGTCCCTCGCAGGGCTGTCTGTTGTGTGGCCAGTTCTGCCGTAGTGCTGTGCGTCAGGCCTGTGCGCTAGACAAAATCAAAAGCCAGTAGCCACAGCAGTCCTGGGAAGCTTTTGCAAACGTGCTGAACTTGAATTGAGCAACACTCCTCTCTGAAAAGCCCGAAGAAGGGGCGCTTGCAGACCGTGTTCTGGGTTGTGTGTCTGATGTCAGAGAGGAAGGAGAGCAGCCTGAAATGAAGCCACTGAGGGGGAGAAGGGGGTGTGGGGGAGGCTGGTCTCCTATCTTTGTTTTGTTTCTGATGTTTACACATGTTGCCTGACCTGGTAAACCACATCGGTGGCCTCGGTTAACACAACATACTGACGAAAGGATGACATTTACTCCTGTTCAGTCTGCAGCCAAGGCCCTGAAGGGAGCAAGGGGTGTCGGGACAGGCGGCCTGTCAGCTTTCCTTTTTTTTTTCCGGGGAAGAAAAAGTGAGAGAAGACTATCTCATCAGTGCACACACGAGTCGTTTAAAGGGATTGTATTTCTTTTCTACATTGAATGGCCTCAAACATTTCTCTCCTCCCATCGCCTAAAGGTTAGGAATACCCCGCCCCCCACCTCCTTTGTTTTCACATTTCCATTTTTTTAATGTTTTGTCATTTTTTTCTATGTTCACATCAGCATTCACTTCCGTTAAATTTGCCAAAGGAAACTGTTAATATGTTTCTGTTGTTGTCGTTATTCCTGTAGGATTTATTGTACCTCACAGTATTTATTATTTCCAAAAGGAGAGAAAAGCATGGCTACTTGGGGGAGTCAGTATTTTTGTTTGTGAGCATTTCAGAAACAAGAGGTTTTCAAAGAGAAGCTAGGAAGAAGCTTCATCTTCTCTGTCGTCTTCCGGGGATGCTACGGGGTTCAGTTCTTCACTTGTTCTACAGGAAGGAAAGACCAGAAGTATTTGCAGTACGAAAGAAACTTTGTCCACTAAATGACAAATGTTTACGGTCAAAAGCTGAGGAATTAGTAGTCACCAGTTTTGTTTTCTTGTACTTTTTCAATTCCCCCAAAGTCTTCATTGCTTTATTTTTGGTGTTGTGTTAAATTGAGTAGACAGAGATGTGTTCCTTTGTTTTATACCATATACGACTCTGTATAGTATGTTTGTGAAAGACCAAACTAGAATAATGAAGAGTTTGTTTGCAAACACTCCGTCCGCTTAGCATTCTCTGTCTCGCTCTGGTGCCTCACTAAGTGGTTAGACTCAAAGAGGTGGGGAAATAGTTTTAACATCTCTCCATGTCCCTGCTCCCCCGCCCCCCGCCCAAAAGATGATAGAAACACTGGGTTTGGGGCTTTACACAGCCCAGAATAAAATTATACCTAGTTTTATTAAAATAACACATTTTTATGTTGGCAGTTCTTAGAGGTTAGGCTCATGGTTGAGGTATTAGAATTCATCTTGTGCAAAATCAATGCTTGGTCTGTTTAATGTCGAGTAAAAGGTCAACTGGCCCTAGTGAGTGAATTACAGGGCTCTCAGCAGGTCACATCAGCAAATGAACCAGACTGAAAACAAATATATTTGGTGCTTTCCACCAATCTTGTGTACAACCCATTAGAGAAGGTCCCGAAGAAGTAATGCGATGTCAACAGGTTTCCCTTGCTCCGAGGTACAAAGGTCCACCTGTGCTCTGTCGGAAATGGCACGCAGGCCTCCACCACTGGCGCTTCTCAAGTCTCAGCCCTACCATTGACTACTACTTTGGCACCTCTGGCCTCCAGTGGTTAGGTCAGCCTTGTAGCAGGGGGAACATTTTCCAATATAAAGCCTATTTGCTTAAAAGGGGAAGGGGCGAAAGGAGGTGTACATCTCCTTAATGAACATCTTTCTGGCCCCAAAGTGACCTTGTTGGTGGGAGTGGACCTGAGAGCAGTGTTTTGACTTTCCTGTAAGCCTGGGGAAGCGGTGCTCTGCCAGCCTCCTTGCAGATGGGAAGAACAGAGGTATTTGAAGACTAACTTTCCCCCTCTCTGTTCGGGTGTTTTCTTCTCCACAGGAGTTTCCTCCCGCTACACCGTTTCTGTCTCTCTGGCTCCATTCACCCTGTGCAGGCTGAAAATTACTAATGTGGATTTCCTTCTAAGTAGCATTTTCTTATTTCATCTTCTTCGCGGGCAGGTCCCCTGGCTGGTGGTGAAACTGTTGCCCATGGATAACTGCGTTTTTTGTAACCAGAAAAACTAAGCCCGTTTCCGGGAATTGCCTGCATGCTATGGAAGGGCAGGTCGTTTGGTTTTAAGGATGTTCTAAAAATGCGGACCGTCTTTTGCTAACAACTCTATTCAAAAGGGGAAACAACGGAAGCCATTGCTGGTCCTGGCCCAGGCACCCACTTCCCCCCGGTGCCTCTGAAAGTCCGAGGGGTATCATGTGCCACCTTCGAAATTAAAAGCAACAAGAAGACTTTTTTTTTTAAACACGGGAGCACAATGGTCATGATTTTCGTGAACAAGCCCCATGCTGGTGGACAATTGCTCTTCGATTCAAAACCTTTTCATCCTGGGTGCTTCCCAAGCCACTCTCCCCACTCCGGAGAAACTATGCCATCAAATAAAAGGTGACCTTCTTCCCCAGGGGAGTGCCCAGCAAATGAGAATAGGGACTCTTGGCAATTAAAACACAAAGAAGCCAGTCGCCATTGGGAGAGGACATGCTGCCAGCTGCAAACGGCTTGATCGAGGCAGTCCTGACTTACACTGAGGCTGTTCACAGTCGAGGAGGCCGTCGACCAGTAAATAACAGCTGCTGTCGAAGGACCCACTACCTCTGCAAGCTCCAACAAATCTTCCAAAACGAACTTCCTTTCATCCCCTGCACATACCTCTGAAGTCCTGCCTTTGAGAATCCTGACAAGTTAGATCTTAAAATAATTAATTGTATTTTCCCTTAAACCTGAGAGTACTTAAATTAGGGAACTTTTGTCTGTGTTTTTTAAAGTTTTCCCCCAGTGGGAAAAATACATACACAGACAGTTTTTTTAAGGGCTCTAAAGGACTTAAGAGGACAATAAATGGTGACTGGCAAGATAGGAACCCCAGTTTGTCAATCAAGAGAAGATAGGAAACTGAGCAGAAACTTGGAACCTGTTAGAAAAACACATACAGGCAGCCCCCTGGTTATGAATGCCTGACTCATCAACTTGCCCTTAATGGTATATACCAGTGCCCTCACTTTATGAGAGATCTGAACCGGCCCTCACAAAATTCATCCTAGTCAAGGCAGCTTTTCATTCATTGCAAAGAGTAAGCATTTCTTGCACTAATGCCAAGCTCAATGAGGCCTGTGCACCTGTTCGGCTGACCAAACAATCTAACACCAAAGCAATGTGCTTGTAACCCGGGGTCTGCATGTGGCTTACGCAACGGAGACATTTGTGCAATAGAGAATGCTGGAACAACCCTATGCAGCATCCAGGGGATGGGGGTGAGAGGGTATCGTCAGGTGGCCTGAAGAGTTCCCTGGGGCCAGGTGTGCCCCTGAGCACCAGTCCGGAAGGACAGCAGTGAGGGACCGCTCCAGTTCCTCGGGAGTCACCAATGCCGCAAGACAGTTTAGGGGTCTCCGGTTGGCATTTTTGCTTTTGACTGGGGGAAGATGTCACAGTCCCTTGGTGCTCAGAAGCAGGCACGGGTCCCTGCAGGGTCTAGAAAGGATGGCGAGGAGGGGAGAGGTGCCAGCGTGTACCCGTCATGGCCACATCACTGTGCCAGTGCTACGAAGCCCCCAGTGGTACTACTACTTGGCCAAAGGTCAGTTCCAAATAGGATGTCCTCATTCCACTTCCAAGAGACAGTAAAGGGACTTGGGTGGACACCATTTCAGAGTCACGGTCTTGTTCGTGCTGCTTAAGATTGCTCCCAGAAATCTTAATCCCATATTTTCCGCCACGAAGGGTGATTTTCAGTGACCCTGGTGGAAATGCAGCTGTCACTGGGTCTGGGCATTAGCATCACACTGGCCCAAACACCCATCTCTGTCTCCCAGGTTGCCCTCCTTGTTTTCTCCATCATGCACAGAGACTTGCCGGCTACTCGATAATAACTGGGCAACAAGGACTGTCCCTTGGGCAAATGTCTTAATAGGGGGTTGGGGGCTTTGGGGTTGTTTTTTTTTTAAGCCTTTTATAAGTACCTGGAATTGGACTGGCATTAGTGTTCATTATAATGCTATATCTTTATTTAAAGGGCCACGCTAGCTATAGTCGTCATAAAACCATATTCTTCTCTAAGGCGTGCTGTAAATTCATTTGACCTTTACTGAGAAAGGGACAGAAAATCTTCCTTTACTCGGCCTGGAGACAAGGCTCAGTGTGTAACAAATAGTGGACCATGACAAAGGCGGGGGTGGGGGTGGGGGGTGGGGGGACCAGGCCAGGAGTTGCAGTTCAATCTCACCTCATATCTTTCTAATAACTTACTTGTCACTTTATTACCGTCCAGTAATGTGAACACCACTGACAAGGCTGTCACACTAACAGCAGACAGCACCCTCTCGGCTTCAGCCCAAGCTCTGCCGGCTGCTTATTGCCCTGGCCCTGAAGGGACACAAACTAATAGTGCGCTTTCCAGTTCAGCACTTGCCATCAAATATAAAAGGATGCGTAATTGCCTGTTTATCCCTTGTGAAGGGGAAATTGAGTACGAGGACTAGGCTTCCCCCACCACCGGCCCTGATACTCCCTCTCTCACGTTCTCCTCGCGTCTCCCCACCCCCGCGCACACATCTTAACCTGTCTTTGTCTGGGCATTCCTCAGCGTGGCACTCCTGGCTGCCCCTCAGTGCGCCCTCCAGCATGAAGTGGACAGTCACGAGATGGCTTCAACAGCAGGCCAGGGGAGAGGCGGTCTGTGACAGCATGCCTTGTCTGCTGCTGTGGCGTTCCACTTCATGCCCGTCACTCTGGGAGCACTGAGGCCGGCCCTGCAATAGTAGCCGGGTCTCCTGCATGTTGGCAGCATACGAACATAGGATCGATGAGAGGATGACAATGTCCACACACACACATACACACACCCCCTTTTTAAAGAACGGTGTGAGTTAAAAACCAATTGGCTGTGAGCCCCTAGTGGATAAGGGCGAGCAAACCCTTTGAACAGTGGGCTCCAAGCCTTGGTGGAAGCATGTGCATTCTCTTCTGGTGCCAGTCCCCAAGCCCATCGTGTCAGACATGGATTGACCCGCACTTTGTTCATCTGGACACCCTGTAGAGAGGAAGCGCCAGGCTTCCCGCTGTAGCAGACATCTTCCTGATCCTTAAGGGGAAACAACCCTTCCACAATTTGGAGAAGGTTGTTAAGCAGAAAGACGGCGAGCTTTTCAAACTCGGGTACTGACAGGACAAAGAAAGAACAGGCGAAGATGTTCCCACCGACACTTAATGCAGGGTTCGGTGACGACAGGTTGCCATGCAGTGAACTACTTAGGTGGCAGCCCAAACTGTGGCTCCTTGGTGACTTCAGTGACACTCGAGACCCGTGGGTCTGCCATCCTTCAGCAAGTAGGCGATCCCATCCTCCCTCTTTCACCCTCCCGCAGCAGGTCTGACACACGGTCAACCTTGCTGTGAACAGACAAGCTTCAAGTAAGAGAGCAGTCAACCAAACCGGACAGACGCAGTGTCGGCGCTGACACGCACTTCGGGAAGGAGAGGACAGGTGTGTTGACAAACCTGGGCTAAGTCGAGGCACTGCCCCAGTCTGAGGGCTCAGAAAGAAAGCACTTTGAGACAAAAGACTGTTAGAGAAAAGGCTGTTTGGGAAGTGTTTTGGAAGTCCCCAGTGTGGATGTTACAATCCCTTCTCCAACACCCTGGTGGAATCACAGCTTCCCTGAAAACTCAGTTGCCAAAATTGCACGGGTCCTGCTGGTATTCGCCACCTCCCCTTCACTCTAAGCAACAGGAATGTTGAGAGACAGTTCCAGTTTTTTGAGGGTAATGCGTTTGTTGGTTTCCTTTCTCTTTTAAAAAGAGTCTTGGAAGGGATGGAAGAACAGAGAAAGATATTTTCTCAAAATCGGAGAGAAGTAGATAATATATATATTATATAAATATATAATATATAATATATGTATATTATATATTATATAAAATATATATAAATATATATATTTCTTGAAGAGAGAGTAAGTGCTATACCAAGACTTTATA